CTCCCCTCCCTCCCCTTCCCTCCCCTCCTCTCCCCCTCCCCTCCCCTCCCCTCCCCTCCCCTCCCCTCTGGGCCTCCCCTCCCTCGCCTCCCCTCCCCTCCCCTCGCCTCCCCTCCCCTCCCCTCCCCTCTTCTTCCCCTCCCCTCTCCTCCCCTCCCCCCTGGCTTCCAGTGTTTAGCAGCCTCGGGTATAAGGCTCCAGTGTTTAGGGGCCTGGGGTTTAGGGCCAGGGCCCCCAGTGTTTAGCGGCCTACGGTTTCCATCTGACAAGGCAAAAAGAAGGATGCTAGTTGACCATGCTGGTTTCCATTTTGCAAGGCAAAAACAAGGATGCTAGTTGACCACGCTGGTTTCCATTTTGCAAGGCAAAAAGAAGGATGCTAGTTGGACACTCTGGTTTCCTCATGCAAAAACAAGGATGCTAGTTGACCACGCTGGTTTCCATCTGACAAGGCAAAAACAAGGATGCTAGTTGACCACGCTGGTTTCCATTTTGCAAGGCAAAAACAAGGATGCTAGTTGACCACGCTGGTTTCCATTTTGCAAGGCAAAAAGAAGGATGCTAGTTGCACACGCTGGTTTCCGTGTGCCAAGGCAAAAAAGGATGCCAGTTGACCATGCTGGTTTCCATCTGACAAGGCTAAAACAAGGACGCTAGTTGACCTGTTTCCATCTGACAAGGCAAAAAGAAGGATGCTAGTTGACCACGCTGGTTTCCATCTGACAAGGCAAAACCAAGGATGCTAGTTGCACACGAAGGTGTGCTTGTTAGTGTGCCACGGCCAAGGTTTTGAGCCGTTCTTGATCAGTTGCTCAATGCGCTGCCTTGAACGGTCATCGCAAAGAAGCTTGATAGCTGCAGTTGCTACTGTAAAGCGATGGCGTGACCGCAGCCTCAGCTGCTGTGGGTAGTGCTTTCTTCTTACACTTTCAACATTTTAACGGTAACTTACGGTCTACTTGCGAATCGACGACGGTTGCAAATATGATAGATTCTTTGAGTCGTGAGTCGTATGTAAGTTAGTATTTAATAATTCAAGCCAAAAGAAATAAAACTATAATTCTAATGTGAGGGGATTCTCTGGGCGGGTGGGGTTTATTCTTGAAGATAGCTTGACTAGAAATAGCTTGACCTTAAATCTTCAAAGTCAGAGCTGCTGAACCCTCCACCCTAAACCTGAAACCCTGAACCCTAACCCTAATACCCCTGAACCCTAAACCTGAACCCTACCCGAACCCTAAAACCCTAAAACCCGGACCCGAAAACCCTAAACCCTAACCCTGACCCTAAACCCTAAACCTAACCCTGACCTAAACCCTAAACCCTAACCCGACCAAACCCTTGACCCTAAACCCTGAAAGCCCTAAAACCCTGAAGCCCTAACCCCTGATCCCCTGAAAACCCTAAACCCGAATCCTGAACCCTGACCCCTAAACCCTAAACCCTGAACCCTAAACCCTGAACCCTAACCCCTTAACTCAACCGCTAAACGCCTGAACCCTGTAACCCTAAACCAAACCCTGACCCTAACCTGCACCTAAACCCTGAACCTAAACCCTAACCCTGAACCCTGACCCTAAACCCTGAACCCTACACCCTGAACCCTAAACCTAACCCTAAACCCTAAACCCCTAAAACCCTAAACCCTGACCCTAAACCCGTGAACCCTAAACCCTAAACCCTTAACCCTACCCCAACCCTGAACCCTTA